AAAATACGAATCCGGATTCCTCGGCTCGATGTTGTGTTTACGACAGAAAGGAACCCATATGTTTGCAAAACTAGCTGCTTCAGCCATGGCTTCAAACGTCAGAAGCGCTCCTCCATCGTCTGAGACGTAACAAGCAAGCTTTTCTACAGGGTAGTCAGCAGCTAGGATGGATAAAATGGTGTTGGAAGTGACAAGTGGAGGCTCTTTCTCTGGATCTGCTGTTGATACAAACATGTCTAGTCCAGGGAGATCAGACTTCCCTGTTGGGTTGCTCGGTGTTGGCGTTTCAAACTTCTCTTTAAGAACATTGAGATCTGTAGCTCGGTTGATGGGACAGAGCTTTGGAAGCTGATCAAGAAGCCAAGAGAATGCGAACCAAAGCTCACAAACTACAGACATCCCCCATAGCCATATTGCATCTTGGTTCTTGTGCTTAATCCTCCACATCAAGAACAGTGCAAGAACAACAATCCTGATAAATATCAAAAGCCTACACAAGAGAATCATATGTGTCACAGTGTTAGTGTAAGTTTTAAACAAATTGCATAAAAATAAAGAATATTCACCTGTAAGGACTAATAACAGCTGCAGGAATCTGGAGTTTCCTAGTAAGTGGTCTCCATGGTCTGCTCATCAAATCCTGTGGCCCCATACCGTGTCCACCATTACCGTCTTTATCATTACCAAAATTCCCATCCTTTGTCCAAAAAGCATTACCGTAACCATAAGTCCCACTTGTCTCAAACAACCACCTGTTATGATCAAAATCCCCGGTTTGACTCCTCATCAAACCGGACTTAGTTGACTTCATCAAAGACAATCTCCTCTCCATCTTGGACCCACCACCAGAAGGTGGAGGAAGCATAGGCCTTTGCTGCTTCTGCTGCCCATTGTTCTCAGCCAAATCAGTTAGATCAGTGTTCCTATAAGGCTCCTTACATCCAGGACATATCCCACCTCCTGTTTTCACAGCATCCACAAAGCAATCCCTACAAATCTTGAAATCACACTCACAAGGTAAAAGATCTTGACCTCTCTCATCACTCATCACCTTAACATCACAACCAGGGATAGCACAAGAAGACCCTTTAGCACCAGCCATCTGCGGATGGCTCGTCTCTGAGTCAATCACTTTGTCCATAAGATGAGCACGTGTCACGCTGTTGAAACCGCCAGTGAACAAGGAGCTGGACACGTACTGCTCCTCCACCTTCTGAGAGATTGACGGATCCATAGGCTGGTTATCAGGAGTTGGTGGGATGTGAACAGTGTAGTTTGTGAAATCAACGCTTCCGAGTTCGCTGTCGAGATCATCTCTAGAGTAGTTGACGTAGCGTCCAGAGGAAGTTCTTCGAGCAAATGTCACGCCAGGTGGCTGCTGATGGTTCCTTGCAGCTTCAGCAGCGTCTGAGTTTGTTGATAGATTGGATCTACTGTTTGTGAAATGACTATTAGACGCCATGATGAACGTCTAGTGATTGTTAAATTATCCACCGGACTTTTGTAGCCGGCAGATCCCTGAGAGATAAAAAGGTCAAGTCATTGTCATGGATCAGATATTATTCAAGAAATGAACAGATCATCAATAGATCTAAGACAAGAACAAGATCTTATCATAAATAATACAATAAAGACATCGAAAAAGACAATGATCATTGTCTTTTTACCACCCCACCATAAAAAAAAAAAGAAACAGCTAAAGAGGGAAAACTTTAACATCACTAAGCTCAAAACAACTTTGAGATATTTCAGATTGTAAAAAGACAAATGTTTACCTGAGAGACCGTAGCAGAGGAAGGTTGAGCTTTGGATCTTCTACAGATGTTTGGAAGAAGAGGAAAAACGCTTTCTTGATTTAAGAGATATTTTTTTTGAGGACGAAGTCACAAGTGGTCGTGTTGCCCAAACTGGTTAAGGAAGGAGGAGAAGAAAAAGAGAAAAGGGAAGGGACTTAGTCGTGACCAAATACATTGGCACTACTACTGATACACGTTATGATGGCAACCATTTGCCTCATTTTTTTATTCAGGGGAGATCTTACATAAAATTAAAATATTATTTCTACAAAAATAATTGAGGAAGAAGTTGAAGAGATGAGAATGAATGAAGATATAAAGATCCTTCTGACTCTTTAATTTTTTTTTAACTGAAGTATTATGTTTCAAGACTGTAACAGTAACAACGACTGTCAAAACTCCGGCGAGAGAAAAAGCCGTTTTTTTAATAACCTTTTAGTGTTCTTTTATGAGTTGAGGTTTTCAGACAAGGTAGAGAGAATTTAGACAAATCCATTTTTTTATTTTTTTTAAATATTTAAATTAGTAACGCGTTCGACGGAATTATTAAAAGATTTGAACGCGGATGTTGAGGGTACTTTCGTAGTTTCGTATGTTGGGTTGGTTTAACGTGTGTGCTTTTGTTTACACCGTCCAACAAAAACGTCAATCACGCATGTTGTAACGGGTACAAGTAAAACATCATTTAATTATTTGTTTATAAGATTAATCAAAAACGAAATTAAGCTAATGGCACGCATACACACGTATATTAAGATTCTAGAATGTTTTTTCATTATATATAATCCCATAATGAAAAACTGAACCGAGCATATCAACCATTAAACGTCTTGGTCGAACCAAAATGCAGACAAAACAAAGTTTTAAACACACAATTTCTGTCAACATTAAACTAAACAAGCATAAGGAAGACTAAACTAAACAAACGTCATTAGAGACTTGAGTGTGCTGCAAACAAGATCCATCCTCTCTGCACACAAAAAAAAAAAAAGAAGTATATTAACTACAAAAACCTCAAACCTATTTACAAACAGTTTCCACCCTTCAAGTGGATGTTTGGTATTAAAGGAGTAAACCGAGAAGCTAAACCGGTAAAATTGACATTCAAACTCGAAATTTAACAGAGTTCCCACAGATAGGAATCAACCTAAAAACTTCCAAGAAGAGACTAGAATCTAGCACAAGAGATAAAGTAAAATTGGTTGAACAATCTACCTTGGTGATGATCTCAGAGTGTTGGTTGAGCAGTCCACTTCACTCATGAAGGAGCTGGACATTGCATTTGTAAGAGTAGTCGAACTCTTCAATCATCTCAAGGACACGTAACGCAAATTTACGGTCGTACTTAAGCGGTGTAGGAAAATCTTCTTCAATATAGATATTCATCTCCTCCAAACAAGGAAAATAGTCCAAGAAATGCTCTATCATGTTCATCTCTTTCACTGTTCCCGTAAACCCTTTGATCACAAACATTTTCACCGGACATGATTTAAGCGAACGTCCTTTCTGCTTCTTGTGAATGCAGTCACAAGCGTCCCCACATTGTTTTGTCACATGGTGCACTAGACCCTGCCAGAACACAAAAAGGTTATATATATATATATATATATTGTAAGTAAATTCAAGTTGAATTTTATATAGCTTTACCTTAATGAGTAGAAACTCTAACTGTGGACAGTTTCTTAGGAGAGCTGGCATTGCTTGCCATCCTCTTCCCTCATCACTTGTAATAATTAACATCTTGAGGTTGTTGAACACAGGCATTGATTCACAGCATAGAGAAAGCACCTGAAGGAAACAAAAAAACATAACTAGACATTTTGCAACTAGACCATAGAGAAGAGAATATAAAAAATCTAACCTCAAGAGTATCAGGATGCAAGTGAAGTTCTCGAACATTCCTTATGCCATTCATGAGCTTAGCCACATTACCAAACTGTCGAACAACATCACCTTCTGACAAATACCTACGCGGACCTCTCATCTTCCTGGTTTGATCATCAGTCACCGAAAGCGCGATCCGAGCCGCATCTAACTTGTTCAGGTTAACTAGCGGATAGTCCTCAGCAACCCAATCAGAGTAGGCCAAGAAACGCAGGTTCGGAGTGTCGAAAGAAATGCTCTTTGGATTCAGAACGGTTTTCATCCCAGTAGCGTGGATACTCAGTTTCTTGAGAGTTGAGCTAGACACGGTATCAACAGAATCAACCCAATCCATGCTTATCATCTCCGCTTCCTCGAGCGCAGGGAAACAAGCGAGAAACTTCTCCATCTTGACATCACAGTCCATGCTCATCATCTCAGAGGCGATGTGAAGAGTCTTAAGCATCGGTAAGAAAGTATCATCAGCTCCAACCCACCAATGAAGACCAAACTCACTCGTTAACTTCAGTTTCACAAGTGTCTTACTCACAAACATCTCCCGAGGGAGATGATACTCCTCTTCATCCTCAAAGTTAATTGACAGATCAAGCTCGGAGACACCACGACGCAGAGCATTGCATATCCAACCGTTGACACGTTCTGAATCAACACCGTCTTCACACTTGAGAGAGAATCTCTTGATGGGAGAGTCGTCACCCTGGAGAGACAACACACGGTCCACAAAATCCATGAAGATCCGCGGATGAAGAAAGACAGAGTCGTCAACGTCGAGAACAGGGACACGTGTGAAGATATAACGCCATTTCTTGGAGAGAACAGAGGTCTTAACAGACTCCTTTGTGGTGAGGAATGATAGTATATGAACGCGAACATCGTCTGGTAGAGCGCTCAAGAGATCCATTTTTTTCACTGCAGTAACAACACACACAAAAGGTTCCTAAGCAAAATCAATTTTACCAAACAGTTCAAAAAGACAGTTAATAACACCAAAGTAAGAAACCACACAGAAGCAAGTTGATTCTGAAACACGACCAAAAAGGTTTGAGTTTTAACTTCGGACACTTACCTTGGTAACAGTCTAACAGAGACTAAGAGCAAAGACAAACACTGCAAAATGCAAAACCTTTGCAGCACTATCGAGACTTTAAATTAGGGCAACTTTTTGAAAAGGGAGAGAAATGAGGGTAGTTTCGGATGTTCTGCCGGTAAAAATGTTAAATTTCTTTTTCTTCTTTTTTTCTTTTCTCTCAATAATAACGAACCGGATAATATATATAAGGAGGAACAGAGATATTCTCGTTCCCAAACAGAAGACTATCTTTGCCTTTTAATTGTTAAAAACAGTTGAGAGAAGAAAGAAGGCTGTTCAACTGTTTGCTCAGCCGCCGGGAAGGTTAAGGTAATGTAACAAAACTCTGTAACTAGTCGGATTCTAAATATATTTTCCGATTTAATGTGGTGTTGTTATCTTTTTAATTCCACTGTTAGTGGTGTCCTAGAATCGAACTCGAGCAATCCAAGTAGCTTTGTCGATTGTTTTTTGTTTTGTTCACTTTGTTATTAATTGAGTTTACTTACTATTTCACTATAACTTCCAGAGTTTTAGTTAAGTGTTCTTCTCTAGTTAACTTTGTTTTGAGTTAATTTAAGTCTTTTTTCTTGTTGAAAGATGATGGATATGATGTGGTTATGTGCCTTGCTTCTTGGAGCTGCATTTGGATATTACATCAGCACTCTACGACACCGTATCTTTGTCCCCTCCTCCAAATCTGTGGCTGAGTCTAGTGGGAATAAAAAGACTAAGTCCAAGGAACCCCTAGAGATTGAGAAACTTGCTGATTCTCGCAAAAGATTCAAAATGGTTTTTTTTAGCCTTACTCTTACCTATTTTCCTCTGTATTGACAACTAAGTTGATATGAATTTGCTTCTTTGGTTTTGTCTGTGTTAGGTTTTGGTAGCAAGGAATGATCTTAAAATGGGTAAAGGGAAGATTGCAGCTCAATGCAGGTAACTGTTTTATTATCTCTTTTTAAGTGTTTAAATCTATCCCTAACTAAGCAGTTCACAACTCTATTACTAATTCCTTTTGTGGTCTGCATTGTGTGTAGTCATGCAACTTTGGGTTTATACAAAAAACTACTTCGACGAGCACCAAAAGCCTTGAACAGGTAAAACTAGATGCCATGTCATCATCATAGTCTACCTCAGATCCTTTGTTAAGGTTTTTCTCTTCCTACCAAAAAATTGATTGCTATTGCAGATGGGAGAATAGTGCACAGGCAAAAGTTGTTGTCAAAATCGAGAGTGAGGAAGAGATGCTAGCTTTGCGAGTAAGTTTACTAAATATTTTGTTGTATTGATGAGGAACTCTTCCTTCCCTCTTTGAAAATTTGCAGATTGTTTAGTTCTTTGACTTGGATTTTTTAGTTACAAATTGAATCTTAGCGGCCGACTGTTTAGATGATTTCAAGTTTAGAGTCTTTAACAATGTTGTCGATGTTGACAGGAGAGAGCCAAGTCTCTTAAACTGCCAACCCATATCACCATTGATGCCGGAAAAACACAGATCGCTCCAGGTGAGTTTTTGTAGTTATTGTCATTTGAATCCAAGATGCTTTGAAAGTTAAAAAGAGTCTAATGTGTGCATACTTGTATTGTTCTTCTTCCAGATTCAAGGACAGTAATGGCTATTCTTGGTAAGTTATCAATGATCCATCAATGTTCTTTAATGATTAAAAACAAATGGAGGAGAGTTATATAGTAGTCAGTACAAATGCACTAGTTTAATAGTTGCAACCTCTTATAACCACTCTGTGTTTGAACATGAATTAGTTGTAATCTCAATTCAGTTTCCTCTAGTCATGAATTATTCACCATATAAGTGTTTTATTTGTGCAGGACCGGTGGATGTTGTTGATGATGTAACAGGTGGACTAAAGCTTATGTAACAACTCTTAGATTCAGCATTGGGACAGCCTAGCACAAGGGAGAGAATGTTAGTGACAAAATTTGTTTTCCTTTTTAACCATTTTTGGCAAAGAGTGCGTTTTTGAGTTAATTACTTGATTTTTACATGAATTTTGTACATTTACCTTACTATAGAAGATGGTCATATGATAATATATTTGTTGTTTGTCAACTCCAAATATTAGGCTAACTATGAGTTACTTGAATAATGAATTAGGTTAGAGAAAAAGATACTTAGGTTAACGTGAGAAATTAAGAAGATTAACATTTGTTAAAATTGATGAGAATGTTATTCTCAGAGTAAATTTAATTGTGGAGGTTATGGATATACCATCAGTTATTATGACTAGACTATCCAATATAAAATGCTATTTTATTGATCTTACTTTGTTCCTATCCTGAGTTTGAAAAATAGTTAACACCATGCATACGCTAGAATATATGGTATCCGATAGTCTAATTAGACCGTTGTTGCTTGTACAATTAATTGTGATGCGTAATGTAGGCAGAACTTCCTCTTCATGTGCAGCTTGTGAACTGTGATACCTGTTTTAGTTAGAAAGCTTGGTAAGGGAGCTTGGAGAAAGCGATTGGTTGATTCAGACTCACACAAATCTAATTAATAAGTAGGATTTTGCCCTAACAATATAATGTAACTTTCTCTTCAAGCTATCAAATTTTCACCAAAGAGAACATATGAAACAGTATCTCTCACAACAACAACTACGCAAAACACTTTGAAATCAGAATATGCAAGAAGAAGAAGATGATCAAACAAATCTTCTAGAAACAAAAGAAACAATCTCAAAAAAAAAAAAAATCCAAATTTATTAAACCTTCCTTCATCCCCAAGCATTATCAAACGCTGCAGAAGTAATCGCTTGAACAAACTCTTGAAAATCAATACATCCATCACCATCTCGATCCGCTTCCTTGATCATCCCGGTCAACTCCTTCGCCGTCAAAGCGTGACCTAGCTTCGCCATCGAGTGCGCTAGCTCCGCCGCCGTTATGTAACCGTTCCCGTCGCGGTCGAACATCTTGAAGATGGCTTTGAGCTGGTCCTCCGTGTAAGGACACTTGACACGATCCGGCTCCACGAGCGCGATGAACTCGGAGAACTCGATGATTCCGTTGTTGTTACGGTCTGCTTTGTGGATCAGAGTGTCGAGCTGGTCTTGACTCGGCTTTAGACCGAGAGATCTGAGAAGCGCGGCTAACTCTAGCTCCGTTAAACTTCCGTCTTGGTTCTGGTCAAATGATCGGAAAATCTCTCGGAGCTCTGCTAATTGCTCGTCGCCTAGATTCCCTGGTGTCGGAGAAGGCTTGTCTCCGTCGTCGCGGCTCATCTCGGGATCTTGGTTTTTTTTTTTAACTCGGTCAAGCTTCGGTTTTAAAGAACAACATTTGTTTTTATTCTCTCGGGGACTTTAGATTGATATGTGTCTCTTTTTGACAAGTCAACGACAGGTATGTGATTATTAGATTGGTTTCTAATTATGAGCAGACGAATAATTTTAATTTTTTCAATATAAAATGAAATAATTAATGATTTCGGATGTAATAAGAAACAGAACCAGTCAACGCGTGTTCGGCGGAAAGAAAACGGTCGTGTTGTTGTCGTGCTAAGCTGTATTTATCCGGAGAAGGCATTTTCCTCGACAACGTAAAAAGCTTAGCAGGCGATGTAGAGGATGTTTCGGCGGTTAAGTGCGCGCTACGGCAACAACGGATCTCAGATAGTGCATGATCGTAAAATTAGGGCTCTCTTCCTCGGCTTTGATTTATGGAGGGAAACATTATGGTGGTTATATGAGCTTCTGAGCTGTGGTTCAATGGGCGTGCGTCTAATTACGAAGATCAAAACTAATTAATATATTGGTTGGAAATGAATATCGTATGGGCTGATGATAGCCCATCCACCAAATAGTAATAGATAAGTAACATGGGTTATACACATTTGATTTAAATTAATTTGATCTTAGCCAAAAAAGATAAGAAAGAGTGTCAATAAATTAATCTAAAATCATATATTATATGATATATATATGAATTCTCTTTTTTTTTTCAATTTATATTAAATTAGATATATTTTTATATATCATCTAAGAAAATCAAATATTATATACAAATATTTATTATATCTTTTAAAAATGGAACAAAATATATTCTAAGTACTTGCTACAATACATAATCTAAGCATATCTACTATCACCAATCCCATACATTAATGATCTATTGATTTGTTCCTACCAAAAAAAATGATCTATTGATTTGAAATGGCTAGAAATATATATATATATATATATATATATATCAAAACATCTATTATTTCTTTTTAAAATAGAACAAAATTATATTATAGTTACTTGCAACAATACTTAGTCTGAGCATTTACTATCACCAATCACATACATGAATGATCTATTGATTTGAAATGGCTTTAAATCAAATATCAATATATATACAGAGATCTATTCTATCTTTTAAAAATGGAACAATATTTATTATAATTACTTGCAATAATGCATAATCTGAGCATATCTACTATCACCAATTTCATGCACTAATGATCTATTGATTTTGATATGGCTATAAATCTGAGCATTATAAGCTTCATACCCTATAAATATCCTAAAACATAACGAGAAGTAGTCAGAATTATCTTGCACTGAAATTAATGGAGCGTCAAGAGAGGTTTGAGAATATACCAAAATGGGAAGAAATGGATAAAGACATCCTTGCCAGCATTTTCAAGAAGCTAGACGTAGTGGACGTTATCATGGGAGCATCACGAGTGTGCATCGCTTGGTTCCTTGCCTCCAACAACAAAACTATATGGAACACCATCAACCTCAACGATGTTGATTCGATTGTCCCAACTGACCCATATAATGATTATTTTATCCCACCTAACCCATGGCCATATCTGTGGGACTATAAAAACGATTATAATAATAATGGAGAAAAACATCGATACGAACTTAAGGAGATCTTGATTGAAATCAACAAATTCAGCCGTGCTGCCCCTGTTGAATTTTTATTCAACTAGATCATAACCCGCCCGACTGGGCGGGTCTTTGTTTTTAAGGTATATATAAATATTTTAAAAATTACAATCTTACGGTTCCAATTTTACTAAGTAATAGTATATTGTTTAAACATTGTATTTCATCACTGAATTATATAACAGGACGTCGGTAAAATGTTGTGACCCGTAAATATTTTAGTAATATTTTATAAAGTTTTTTTGACTAAATTTGGTGAAAAATTATATACACTAAACAATTTAGTCAAATTTTTAAGTTTATTTTTAATGAAGAATTGGAATGCTAGTATATTACTGTTAAAATTTTTTAACAATAGTCAATATAAATTATAGAAATAAAATATATATTATTCTTGATTTATTCCACATATATTTAAAACACGAGTACATATATGTATACATAATTTTCAGAAATAAAATAATATCAATGATAGAAAATCCAAAAACAATAATAATGGTACTTTGAGCCGCAGTAATTTTTAGTTTAATAAGTAAGCCCATTAGATTTGATTTGTAGGCTATCCTTGTTTCCAATCATCTTAATTTTAAATACTTATTATTCATGTTTCCAAACACTTAATTTTTGTACTTCAGCTTTAATAGTATAGATGTAATAGAAGAGGATCTAGCGGGTAAAGTAAAACTATGTCCATTAATTATTCATTTTTATTGAGTAGTGGTCGGGTAGTAGTATTACCACCTCGGTTCGAAACTTTGCCATACAACATAAAATCATGTTTAGACCTCACTTAGAATTTGAGCCGGACTATTCATTGATATTGTTTCATTGGGGAAGGTTAGTTAAGTTTCGATCCAGATACTACATTCGTCAACTAAATTAATTTGTTTATCATATTGATATCATTATTAAATTCCACGTGGAATACAAAATCTTAACCAAGACATAAGGGCATGATTAACTCATGAGCGTTTAGGAAGTTGCTTTTTTTTTCTTTTTTTTTTTTCATTTTTCATTTTTGTTCTTATGATTAAAAATAAAGACAAACTAAAAATTTTACTAATTATGAATTGTCATATGTCGTGGAGTCCGCGAAACAGGACAAACACCGACACTTATTTAAGTTACAGAAACATTGGTTATTTAAATTTTATGGACCCCGCTGTAGAATTCACTGACTATTTAATAATTTTTATTAAACACTCTTTTTCCTAAGCTCCTGGTTAAAAATGACCAAATAATCTAATTTTTGTTGAAGATGGCCTAATAATCTAATTTTTCTCTTTTTTTTTTAAAGGTTGCCAAACATCAGAAAACTTGCGTTACCAATACAGACACCTTACAATCTGTATTTGTTTGCATCATCATTTAGTAAATGGAAGAATCTCCAAACGTTGATTATTGGCAATGCCAAAGGTGGCGAATTGAAACATATGCTTGAAGCCATCGCAGAAAACTGTAGAAATATTACCAACCTAAAATTCACTTATACATTGGACCAAGAGTTAGCCAATATAATTCTTGATAAGCTTCCGAACTTGAAGAGTCTGAGCCTCCGCTGCACTTATGTCTTTATAGAAGCAGTTAAGTCTCTTATCATCGGCCTTCATAACCTCAAGCGTCTTAACCTCTCACATTGCTTATCCAACAATGGTATGCTGACACAATCATTAGGAATGTTACCTGAGGATAAATCTGTAATACTTAGCATTCAAAAGCTTGAAACTTTAAAGTTGTGTTGTTGTTCGGACTGCACAATTTGTCAAGATGTGTTACATTGGAAACTTGGTCAGTATTTTGGATCTGAATCTGGGTTTAGCCACTTTTGGGATAACCAGTGGGAAACTGATGAATTTAAGGAGTTTGAGTTTTAGACCCATCTTTATCTAAAAATGTTTTGCAAAACAAACAAAAATTGAATTATGTTTATCTATTTATTGTAAAACTGAGTTGTTATAAACTTTTTATTTGTGTATATCGCCAGTGCTTTTAATCTGTAAACTAGATTTTGAACCCGCACATCTGTGCGGGTATTTTTTCATTTTATAAAAATATAACAAAACTTTTCAAATATATATGATTTATATTCTATTGTTATATATTGTATAATTGTATAATTTTAATTATTTTTATATAATATATTGTTGTAAGTTTTAAAATAAAAAAATATATTTATATATAATTTATTATATAATGTATTTGTTGTGAGTTACAAAAATATATGTTTAACATTTTTTGTAAAAAAAATGTTCTATGATTTAAAGACTTTAATATGTTTTAAAAGGGAGTGATATTTATTTATTTATTTGAATAAAAGAAAATTTTTAAAACAAAATATTTTCCTTTTACCAATTTAATATATTTTATATTCATTTCACATAGCATTTTATTTTAATATAATATAGAATATAACTAAATTATAAAATATAACAATTTTGATTTTAATTAACAGTAATATAGATATTTATATATATTAATCACGAAATTAAATAATGCATATTTTATAAAAATATTTAAACTTCTTAGTAAGATCTTGTTAGATATTTTCTCAACAAATTTATTACTAATATCTTATTAATTATTAAAATATTCCTCCAATTATATATATTTGATTGATTAGTATAAATAATCAAATATNTTAATCACGAAATTAAATAATGCATATTTTATAAAAATATTTAAACTTCTTAGTAAGATCTTGTTAGATATTTTCTCAACAAATTTATTACTAATATCTTATTAATTATTAAAATATTCCTCCAATTATATATATTTGATTGATTAGTATAAATAATCAAATATATCATATTAATGAAATGGTCCAACATGACTTTTTTTATAGTAAATGTAAATGGTACTTCTCTTTTAATATAGAAGATGATAACTAACCTATCAATGTACTATATATATAGTATGATTCATGCTCAAGGGAAAGTACAAAAAGTATAATGCATAAATCATTAGTCGATTATTTGTCTTATTGTATTACACAATGACAAGAATGAGAGGAACACAAGTTTGAAACATAGATACATTTAACACCACTTCCTTTTGCCCATTATCCATTTTGTTGCTCTGCGACTCCACTAAATCTTTTAACACATCTTCAACATCTGCGAGAACAAGTCAGATTTTTATGCACAAACATTCTGGAAAGCGTGTTGTTACTATAAAGATGGATTTTACCTCTTGAGTAAAGATTATGGAGATTTCATTTCCTGAGAGCATCTGATGTGAGAAGTCCCATCTGTTCAGTAAGATGGTTCATTTGTTGATTGTTGCTCAACACATTCCTCAGGTTAGGTTGTAACTCTAGCTGCTCCATTATCAACTCATTGTCCACTGACCCTGAGACTAGCTCATCCGAGTCGCCAATCCCTGAGCTCTCACCAAAGAATTGTTCCCACAATGAATCGTGTACTCCAGGAAGTAACTCATTTATGGCGTCATTGGTTTCTAACATCATTGAGCCATCTAACACAGCCATTATTGGATCTAGACACTCTCCATTATCTCTCTCGTAACCAGCTAGATCCGGACTTGGGCTCCCAGAACCTTGCTTTGGGGCTAACAGATCAGCTTGAGGATAAGGCAAATTGGTCTCCTCCAGGACTTGGTTTGTTGCACAAGGATTGTGATGTTTCATTGCAGGATTGGATGAAACATCAGCAAATGCAACTCCAGATGGTCCATTTGAGGAGCTTCCATTGTCTGAAAGGTTGGCATTTGGAACATCTCCCAAAAGAAAGCTACCATGATTGTTACTCATGTTGTGTATCTGTTGGAGCATACTGTTTGCTGATTCGTTCATTGATGACTGGTACCTCACAATCTGGCGGCTAAGACCATTAAGCCCTTGGCTATTACCAGTATTCTTCTGGTCCTCAACAGGTAGCCTCCTCTTTTTATTACTCTCAGAGATCTGCTGCTTCCCTTCATTATTCTTCTGCTGTGAGAACTGGTTCAAGAAACCAGGACTTTGAACAGCCTTTGCTAAGAAAGACATCATTTGCTGCTGCCTCTGCTCCATCACATGAACTTTCTGCCCCACGTGTTGAAGATGATGTTCAGTGACTTGTTGTTGCTGCCTTAACCTCACAAGCTCTTGCATAAGGACGTTCTTATCACGCTGGAGTCTTTCAACTTCTTCTTCGAGTCCAAACTTGCCCACTTCGACGCAGGCACCAACAGATGAGTGCTGAACTTGAGGTTGTTGTGGAGGCTGCACCTGAGAAGGTTTTCTCCGGATAATGCTCTTTAGCAAGTGTTTTTGGCCTTTTAGAAAGCCCTCATTTGCAAATTCCCAGCGATCTGGATCAACTTTTCTGAAACCCTGAAAAAAAAAAGAATGGAGAAATCATTAACCACAAGAAGTTACTTGGATTCCATTGAATTAGGTAGCAAGTATAGAACAATTGTACATAGAAGGATACACATAAAGACTATTAAACACTTCAATAATGTAATAAAATCTCTACAATGTCTCTAACTACAGTACCTGCATGTACCTGGACGGTTAAATACAAAGGAATGGAAAGCTAATGTGAGACAACTGATTAGAAATTTTGTTTTCTGACTTAGAGTAGAAATGGAACTGCTGAGGAAACCAAATCTTCAGACACATATGGGCACATGTCCAAATAAGCCTGCAAAGTTCGTTGGACCCTTTTGGTAAGTAATAGAAGCAAAGAATAACAAAAACAAGAAAGCTATGTAAGAGTACTACTCTCTTCATCTTTTTATTTGTCCTAAACCAATTCATTTGTAAAATGAGTTGTAAAATATCCATTCCAGCATCACAGAGACTTAAAACACACACACACACACACACACACACACACAAAAAAAGGGTATATGACACCAGTAAGTATACACATGTATGATACTATTGAAGGATGTCTGCAAAACAAGGACAAACCATATATGTAAAAATATGGGATCCACTATTTAAAAAAAAAACACAGTAAGTGAAACTAAAGGAAACATAGCACAATCAACTAAAGAGTGCATAATTAGGCATCAAAAAGCTCTTTAGGAACATGAATGATCATTATTCTAAACACTCATAGGAGTTGACTTTTTCAAATTATATTCTTCCACCTAAAGTGATTCCTGCTCTGAAGAACCAGAGTTGAAACTACAATCCTTAAATCAAAACAAGTGAGAAATGAAGCACAGAACATAATATTATTTTTTAAAAAAAAATCTGGTCAATAATCAACTAATTAAATTAAAAAAAAAAAGACAATGGAAATAGGATGCTTACATAAGTGTTAAGCTGTCTGACAAAGCTAGAGAAGTTGTTGTGCTTGAAGTACTTTGGTAAAAACTGTTTAGAAAACTCAGGCACGTTCCAGACAACGAAGCTGTTGCTCCCGCTGCTCCAAGACACCACTTCATCAGTCGATGGATCGTCAACCATGTCGTAAGTCTTGCTCAGAAACGGCGGAATAGAGCTCATCACCACCGTCGTTGAAGAGTTCGCCGTAGGTGCTGATTCTGGAATCGATCCCATTTTCTAGTACCAAAAGTAATCAAAAGATGTTATCTTTATCGATGAAGAAAAAGAGGTTCTTCTTCTACACTTTACTTATTTTAAGTCTGCAAAAAGCTATTCCTCTGCTTCACTTTTATTTATAACTGAAATTTATTTCTTATTCTAGAAAGCGGTGGGATTCTCAAGGACTCGTATTTTAAACCGTTGATCTGATTCTCTCTGAACCGTCCGATTTTTATTTTTTTAATCTAATTAGTTACTTTTTAGATGAAAATACGCGTGTGCCACTGAGATAACGTACTTGGGCCTTTTTTTTTTATTCCTTAACGTACCTGGTCTTTTTTTTTCCTAAGAAGGTATCTGGCCCTAAACTTTTTCGTACGTGGCACTTTAGACTCGCGTTGAATTATTGGAATCTAATCGCTGTTTTATTCGCGTTTTTTTATTTGCGTTTCGCGTTTTGCTCTGTTACTGCTTACCGCTGTGAAAGGCCCATATTACTTTTTTACCCAAAAAAAAACTTGATATATTACTGTACTTGATTGAGCAAGGACTTTTCTGTTAATTTGTATTAAAAAATATAGGTAAACAAATAACCACAAATCGTATAAATTTCTGAAACTTGATAAATAATTATTGTTTTTAAAATTGATTTATATAGTTGTCGCCTATCGAATGTTTTATTACATTACATAGCTTCTTGTAAAAGAGACATGTGTGTTTGTCTGCTACAAACAGGCACGTGAGCCAAGGTGCTTCACTTCTATCGAGAAAACCCCTACAGACAGAGGAGGGGGTAAAGTTAGTACCTTTTTCACTTTGTTCGAAACTCGAAATTCGTTCCCTGATTCCTCTCGCGAAGCAAATTTACCCAATCAAAATTCAAATCCATGCATATCTAGACTGGTACGATCTACCAGGGTCCGATTAAGTCAACGGGTCGGATCCAGTTATCTGGTTCGGTTCGGTTGTATATGCTCATCAAGTGACGTCATCATCATTATAGTACGTACGTGTTAATAAAGTGTTGGAGGTTCCTAGAGTTTTTTTTAACCACCTATCTAAAACAGTCAGCTTCTTTGAAAATAGCTATTTTGCTTTGGTGATAATCCAGAAGAAGAAAGATAACTTTTGATGTTAAAAAATAGCTTAACCAATAAAATTGATCTACTTCCCCCAAAAAAGCCTAAAACCCCCCACGCAAGGCCAAAAGAAAAGAAAATTTCTTAAGGTGGTGGCAATGGCGTCTTCTTCTTCCTCCTCCCTATCCGTCATTACATTCCTCCTATTCGTGCCTCTATGTCTTTCTAGTGACTAGTGAGTCATCTCCGCAAATCCCAACAGGAAGCTTAAATCTCTCTTTACTCTGGTACGGACAGTTCACTCCTGCCCAAAAAGAGAGGGTTCACGATTTCATAGGTTAAACCGGTTAATGGATAAGAGGTTAAAAAGTCTATTTCAAAATTACTCTAAATAAGGATCGTTACAGAAATAGTTGTCTCATTGTCATCCTATAATTAGATCATATGAGTGAATATATATATATGATTATGGTCTTAGTACAAATATGATGTAATGTTATATATCAACAGATTTTAGTTCAAATACAAATCCAAACAACATTTTGTGAACGTAAGTTTGGTGGATTACTCAGTATATAGTTTTGTATGATTTTTTTTTTTTTGTAAGAGCGAAAGTATTTTATAATAAGATTAAATTATATTTCAGTTCTCAAAGAAAGAATAAAAAAAGATAACTATTTTTCTTTATTGACTTACTTGGTTCGAAAGGTTTCGGTTGGTCGATTTCATTTATGGCGTGTGGGTAATTCATATGTAGTCTACTTGTTTGGTGTGTGGTTTCTATTTTTGTTCTCGACATATTTCTTACAACTGTGATTGAATAAATCACATCTCTCAAATCGTTATCCACAAGCGAATCTTAGTGTTGATTTTTTAAATAATTAATTGTTAATAATGCGACCGGCTAGACAAAGAGGCTTTAATTATATAGTTGTTAAGAAATGAAGATGGTGGTTGGGACATATCCGGAAATGGACCAGACCACATCAGTCTACTTCAGTCCCAAGACTAGGCGGCCAAGACTTGTCATTATCCTCCCTTGTATTTATCCATATGTTGTAGATATCCTAATCATTATAGGATTAGGATAATCATCCCCTTTATTTGTAGCAATCCTTATCTCCTAAGGA